CCCCCCCCCCCCCCCCCCCATAGTCTGGCACCTGAGGCGGTCACCTCAGTTCACGTCATGGTAAGGCCAGCCCTGTGGAGCCCCCTCCCTGAGCCAGCATCCCCTTCTCCACCTCCTCCTGCAACCAAATTCCCTCCCAGACCTTGCATCTCTCACCCCTTCCCACACCCAAATCCCTCATTCCCACCCCAGAGCCAACACCTCCTCTCTCAACCCAGTGAGAGTGAGTAAGGGCTGGGGACAGCAAATGATGGAGAGGAGGGGAATGGAGAAGGCAGCGCCTCAAAGAAGGGGTAGGGTTTTGGGGAAGGGGTGAGGTAGATCTTGGCTTGTCCTGACATTTAAAAAGTGATCTTGGGTGTAAAAAGTTTGGAGACCACTGTATTAAATCATTGGGTATGTCTAGACTACATGCCTCTGCCAACAGAGGCATGTAAAATAGGCTACCCGGCATAGTCAATGAAGCGGGGTTTTAAATATCCTTGGCTTCATTAAAATAAAAATGGCCACCGTGCTGTGCCATCTTGGCTTGTCCTGACATTTAAAAAGTGATCTTGGGTGTAAAAAGTTTGGAGACCACTGTATTAAATCATTGGGTATGTCTAGACTACATGCCTCTGCCAACAGAGGCATGTAAAATAGGCTACCCGGCATAGTCAATGAAGCGGGGTTTTAAATATCCTTGGCTTCATAAAAATAAAAATGGCCCCCGTGCTGTGCCGGCTCAGCTGATTGTCGGCACAGCGCAGCAGTCAAGACGCAGATCAGTTTACAGGGGAAGCCTTTGTCAACCGCTCCCTTAGGAAATGAGGTTTACAGGAGCAGTTGAAAAAGGCTTCCCTTGTCGACCGATCTGCGTCTTGACTCGCGTGCTGTGCCAACAATCATCTGAGCCAGCACAGTACGGTGGCCATTTTTATTTTAATGAAGCCGGGGATATTTAAATCCCCGCTTCATTGACTATGTTGGGTAGCCTATTTTACATGCCTCTGTCGGCAGAGGCATGTAGTCTAGACATACCCAATGATGGTATCTTCTTGGTAATCCAGAATTAAACTGACATTACAATTTCTAACATTTTGTCCAGTCCAATTTTAAAGCTTCCTTTAGGAAAGAAATGCACAATTTTCCTTGAGAGGCTATTCTACGAGGGTAAGTAAAAAAGTATCCGCAATTGTTCATATCTTTTTTTGGCGATTGTCCCAACTGCTGAACTTGCGCGCAACTGTAAGCACAGAACCTCTTTATATTGTAGAGACATATTTGGCCTTGACTGTTCAGATGTCTTTCACCACTAGTGGGGTCAACATGTCCGCTCCGCTTAACACATGCACCAAAGAAGAGCAGCGTGCAGTGATTCAATTTTTGTGGGCTGAAGGTGTAAGAGGTGTGCAAATTCATCGAAGACTATCTCAACACAGTACGGTGACTGTTTTGCCGCAGTGAAGCGTGTACAAATGGATTGACAGGTTAAAAAATGGCCAAACAAGTGCCACAGATGAAGAACGATCAGGGCGCCCATCCACATCGACTACTGAAAGCAACACTGAACAAGTCCATGCACTGATTCTCGAAAACAAGAGGGTGACTGTCAAAGTGGCAAACCAACTGCAGATTAGTCACGGTTCTGCCTATGAAATCATCCACCACAAACTTCACTTCAGTAAAGTTTGTGCAAGGTGGGTTCCCAAACAACTCATGGAACAGCACAAATGTAACTGTTTGGACAACTGTAACCGCCTTTTGAATCGGTATCATGGAGGAAGGTGACACTTTTTTGAGTCGCATTGTCACTGGTGATGAAATGTAGATCCACCACTATGAGCCAGAGAGCAAACGTCAGAGAGACCCCTCAAAGATGCTTTAAGAGGCCGTCATTTTGCCAGCAACCATGATTTCAAGGAGGCGGTGCATACATGGCTTTCCGCCCGACTGAAAACATTTTTTTCTGAAGGCATACAAAAGCTTGTGCAACGCTGGATTAAGTGTGTTGAAAAGCAGGGGAACTATGTTGAAAAGCTATACACTTATGAGTACTGTATTGCTGCTGTGTTAATTTTAATAAATACATTGCGGATACTTTTTGACTTACCCTCGTACAATCTAAACTCCTTCCCAGAAAATGTATATTGCAGAAAGCATAAAAATTGCAACAAAATTAGGGATGCCATACTAGTTTATTGGGCACATCTTCCATCCTGCATACTTCAGAAGATTTTGCTGGAAATATGTAATTGTCACAAGCTGGCCTAGTCCCCCTCTTTGGAAGTGCACCAGTCCTTTATGGAACCAACCTTTGGATCCCTCATACTACTAAGCCCCCCGAATCTTGATAGTGAGTAGACATTATTTCTAGCTCTAGGTCTCAAGGACATTTCCATATGCAGACTCCACATCTATATGCAGACTCCACATCTAACAACTTTCGTCAGCAGTGGGACTTTGCACCTTAGATGCTGAAACAAGAGCCTCAACCCTTCCAAACTCCCAGTTGCTTGTAGATACTTCCTCAGAGATTCTGCTTGTTTCTCAGTTAACCCTTTTAGGGACAACATGGCAGGCAAGCAAGGAATACAGCCTTAGAAAAATAACTTCTTAACCAATGGTACATTACTCTCAAACAGCGCTTAGAAAGTTACAGGTCTTTTGGAAACAACACACAATTCTGAATGCACTCCTCTCAAGTTGCATTTTACCCCTCTTTGGAATCCTGTGTTTGGGCAGTCTCCATTTGCTGGGCAACCTTTCCTACTTTCTCTCTATTTGAATCAGATTGGCTGGTCCCTGTAAGACAATCAGAGTTGATGAACCTATATTGCTACATACCAGTTTATCAGATATAATTAGAGATTATGACCCTACTACAAAATGGATGCTTTTGTATCAATCCATAATGGAAATTACAATACAACATGAAGGTCACAGTTCGAAATGAAACACACAGTACAGGCAGTCCCCGGGTTACATGGATCCGACTTACCCCATTTGTAAGTAGGGATCCGATGTGAGGCAACCCCGCACTAGCTGCTTCCCCCCCGCAGACCAGGGAGACATGAAGCTAGCGCCCCTCCCCAACAGACCAGGGAGACGCGGAGCGGCTTTTTCAGCAGACACCTCAGCTTGAGAATAAAGGACTGAGGGAAGTGAGGTGGGGGAGAATAAAACTGAGCTGTGGAGAAATGTTTGGGTAGAGTTTCCCCTATAATATGTACCAGTTCCGACTTACATACAAATTCAACTTAAGAACAAACCTACAGTCCCTATCTTGTACGTAACCCGGGGACTGCCTGTACAGTTAGAGCCCCCTGAAAAAAAATGGCATTCATAAAGCAAGGTGAAGTTCACAGCCCTCTAGTCGGTCACAATAATTACTTTGCTTTTATTCAATAACTATAAGGTTAAGGATGTCAGGAATACTGAGTAAATTTCTTTAAATTTCCAAGGACAAAAGCTCACTCTCTTCCTCCTTAGTCTGTATATTTAGGTCCCTGTTGAGAAGTTCTAAAATTACAATAACAAGAGTTACTAGACAGCTCAATTTTCACTGCTGGGTTAGAAATGTATTATTTGATCATCTCAGTCTTTTAACATATATTTGCTAAAATTAGGTCTGTTTTCACTCCTCCTGAGGACCAAGTGGATAAATTGCATGTTATATTTTTGGTGAGATAGAGGGCTGTAAAAAAGTTATGATTTTTTTATCAGAAATTCCTGCCAGTTTGTTAAAGTTGTGGTTTTGTTAAGGTCAGTCCAGCTACCTTAAAAATGTTAACAAAACAAAAATCCAAAGTAATAAACTCCTTGAGAGTGGCATTGCAATCCTGTATGCCAGTTCACAATACCATTCACCCTCAGCTTTGGCCCTGCCATCATGATAGATGAGCAACCAGGCCAAATTTAAGTGCATAGCATTGTGACCTGGTGCACAGTGTTCCAATGCCTCTCAAATTTGTGGTGTGCATTAAAAGTTTTAGTTTCTGCAACAAAATCACTGCCCAGGATGAATTATGAATAGAGGAACTCAAGGAAGTGAGAGTGTATAATTATTAAAAGTAAATGTAATTAAAAGACAAATTTTATGATGAAACAGGTAGATCTATTGTGGTTTTGGTTTAATAGTTGGTTAACTTTCAGTAAAGTACACCAGATCTCTCTGTTATTCATGAGAATTAGCAAGGAATATGCTGTGCTGGGTATGGATATCAATATCTAGTGGGAACATTGCTGTAAATAATCCTGGAAAGTCATTCTCAGTGGTTCTCTCTCTTTTTTGACATAATCTGAAATCCTACTCTGAGGAGCTGTTGCAGCGCATTCATTGCAGTGCATTCATGCATTATGAGGAAATCATGCTCCATTCTTTGAATAGAAAGGGTTTCTGGCAATGGCTCTGATGCAGTTCTGCAGATAGGGAGGATTTGTGGGTCATGAAAGGGGCATTCATCCTCCACTTAATACAGAGCTTGGCTGCATAACAGCTTCCAGAATAGAAGGTTGTGGTATATCTTCTTTTCCTTCCCATAGTGGAAGAAGCACATTAGGGTGGAGGTGATTACGGCAGAAGCTGTCTGTGTGAAGTTCAGCTGCTGCCATATAATTTGGAGGAAAAGATTCCTTTCACAGCTCCTAGAGTTACTATGTTCTAATTCTGTACTTGGGCCAAGCATTGACCTGAGGATTTAAGCCCATGGCTTTAAAATGTATCACTTTGATTTTGAGTTCTGATACTTTACTTGCCTTCATTTCAGATTATCAAGTCTAATGTTTAACTCTTAGAAATAAGTGACCTTTGTCCATTATGTACTGTCTGCATTTTCTTATCTCTTTAGTATTAATATTTTTTATGCTTTAGAATAAAGGAACATAAGCACCAGGCAGAATTAGACAAACTAGAAGCAAAAAAAGAAAGTGACGAGATTCAAAGACTGACCAAGTTATATGCATTAGAAGTACAGAGAGAAAATGAAAAGAAACTGGAGGAAAAACTTGAACATAGGAAGATGCATCTTGTAAGTAACACAAAAGCAGAATCCCAATATTTTTCAACTCAGATGCTTAGGGACTTATATTCATATTTGCATACTTAAATAAGTGGCAGATTTCCAGAGCTGCTGAAGCTCACACATAGCAGCTGTCATTGTTGCCATGAGAGCTGTTAGAGGCTACACTCTTGAAATCTTGGCTCTTAACGCTGATTTGCAGGTTACTGAATGCATTGTGACTTTTCCAACCTGCTATAAAACAAATTCACACACTCCACAGAGTTGGTTTGGCTAATAAATATATAAGAAAATAAATTTTATATGTTGCCTTATTACAAGACCTGGCTATTCCTGGAAACCTGCCTTAGAACTACTTAGTCAGTCTGTATTCTGAATAATAGTAAATCATTTCTCTAAAAAGCCTCTCCCATCACTTTTGTATCTGTGTAGTGTAAGGAGCTAGTTGCTTGAGAGCCACACCTAGCCTTTCTGAGCACTGAGCAGCATCAGTCGCAGCGTGAGGTGTTGCATCATCTATATGCAAAATTACTAAAACCATACGGGGAATTAGGACTGAACAGCTTCATGGTGATAGTTCCGATGGAATCATTTGCTCATGCTGTAGGCAGAGTGAGAAGGAAAGTAGAGAAGAAAAAAAAAGGAGAGGCAAAGGAACGTTTTTGGAAAAGCTAGAGGTCTCTACTGCTCGATCTTCACTACTGGCAGCAAGTTGTTGAGATTCATGTTTATAAAACTGGTCATGGGAACTGCAGGCAATATATTTAATTGCTGAAAAGTTCTACATTGGCAATTTTTTTCTCTCCTAGTAGTCGGGTTTGCTATTCTAGCATTCGGGTATTGCCTGCTTCTGCAGTGTAGGATGTGAGATCAGGCCTATCTGCCTTGGCTCCACTTCATTGTGAAACATTTCCAAGTGGGATCTCTTCCACAGCTAAAACACAATGAAGGGGTGCCCTCTGGCCTCAGACCTGTGTTTTGACTCTATTCCCTACCTGGAGTGACAATGTAGGATGGTTCCCTTCTCCTCCCAGAGAGACAGGGGCATGGAGATCCATTTATTTTCCCCATCAGGAGCAGCAGATTCCTCTTTCTTCCTAAAGAAACAGAAATGGAAGCATGGTGGGCCTCCAATACTGAGGTCAGCAAACAGGGAATATGGGCTTGGGTTTCGCCTGGTCTACAGCACTCTTCTCATCCTGTTACACAGAGTCCTTTGTGGGGTGAAGCTGGCAGGACTTAGCAGTAGGGATGTTAAGTAGCGATCTTGGAGCCTCTGACAGGTGATCCTGACTGGCTTGGCCAAGAGGCTATCAAGTGCCTGCAGTTCAGCTGCCCCTGGCCTTGGAGCTGCCTCCTCAGGAGCCTCCTGCTTGTTGTGCAGGGGAGAGAGCGGAGGGTGCTGATCTTAAGGTGCCCCCTCTTCCACCCTGGATCCTATCTCCACAGAGCAGAGACAGGGCACAACAAGACTTGCAATGGAGTTTGCCAGCTGCTTTGGGGCATGGTGCAGGGCCAGGGCAGGGGTGATCCTGCCTTAGCCCACTGCACCACCATCCAGGAGTCACCTGAGGTCAGCAGTGCCCAGCTGGAGCCCACATCCCAAACCCCTACATCCGTCATGAACCTTCTCCTGCACCCCAAGCCCCTGCCCTAGCCCCGAGCACCCCTGCATTCAAACACCCTCCCAGAGCCTATATCTAGAACCCCCTCCGACACCCCAACTGCCTGCCCCAAGCTCAGCTCAGAGCCCCTCACACTCCAAATCCCTTAGTCCAAGACCAGAGGCTCCACCCCAACCCTCTGCTCCAGCCTAGTGCAGGGGAGGGTGGATGGAGTGTCAAGGGGCGGAGCTCAGAGAAGGGGCACTAAGGAGGTGAGGCCAGGGTATTTAGGTATGAGGTAGATCTCGGACTGCAGTTAAATTCCAAAAGCAACCTTGTGCGCTAAAAGGCTGGAGACCATTGCTCTATCTAATAGAGGCAGCAAAGGGGAGGAGGAGCCATGAGTCAACTATCCTGTGAACTAGTCCTTTACATCCCTACCTACCAGCAGCGGATTTTGGAGTTAACATCCCATTAAGATGAATGGGGCTGTTCACACCTCTGATAACTTTTGTTCCCATCTGTTTGCAGATTTAGTTATATATCCCTTGCATCTGTTATATTAGAGTCACGTTTTCAAGCTTTTCTTTGCAACCAAAGTAAACAGATTTTCACCCCATAACATAAGTCTAAAATTTGGAGTCCTAAACACAGGTGCATATGCCTTAATTTGACTCTGATGTAGATTAGTGATCAAAAGGGAAAACATTTACCTTCTGAATTATGTGCATCCACTGACTACCAGATAAGCCAAATGCAGAGGAACTTCCCTACATTATTAGTTGGAATAGTGACACTGACTACTAGGAAAAGAAAATCATCAGGCAAATGTCACAGTTCAGGATAATTTCACCTGTATTTCCACCTTGTGGGTCAGCAAGGACATCACTGTCAGGCTTTTGGTTTCCCAGTTGTCATATCTCTTGGGCTGGAGACACACATCTTACTCCCCTCTGACTGGGGTTTTTCCTAGGCTGCACAGTTCATTGCCTACACTGTATTTTTCTCAAGGAATCAGACTGCCTAAGCATGTTTGCTTTGCTTCTCTCTCAGAGGCTACGTATAGCACAATTGCCCAGTTATAAGGAACTATCCTCCTTTTCCTAAACAAGTATATTTATTTCTTAAGGTGAAAGCATTACAGAGAAAACATATTAAAATGATAAAAGAATCTATAAACATTACTCACTTACCAGAGATCACCCCAACTGCAACAAGAGGCAATCTATTAAGTCCCACATAGGGTTTTTAGTGGTTACAAATTCATAACACTGTTATGAGTCTAAGCCATTCCTTTATAGTGCTTAGGCATTTGATCTGAGAATAGGTAATTCATAGATCATGGGTTTTTCCTCAGGTCATAGCTTCAAAAGTTTGGGTACAGAGATGGGAATTTTCATTCTCTTCTCACATATATTTCCTTTGAAACCCACTTAACTTTGTTCATCCAAACATTCTTTCTTGTAGGACCCATTGTTAAATGAGACCTTGGAAGCTCATGACACTTCCCAGGATTTATGTTTGTCATTCCTCTATACACATTACCTACAACTGCACAGTAATACATAAACATAACATGAATACATTAAATTAATAAAATGAACTCCTAAAATACTTCAACTTAATTCTGTATGGTTTGCCCAAAATATTGCAGAAAATTGCTGTATCTGTCACAGCAAGTACAAATATCTTCTTACAGCTATCTGAGTTTATTATTCCAACATTCTCCTGTGAGGAAACTGAAGGAGCTTTCATTGTTGACTCAAGATGTGGAGTGGCCTTTTTAATACCTGCTCTAGAGCCTCTGATGTCATTGCTGATAGGAGCAGCTTAGCTGCTACTCCTCTTCTGATAATTGCCTTTTAAAAAGACTTTTAAGGCTTCAATATTCCTGCCTCTGGCAATGGTTACACTATGACTTAACAGGACATAAAATTATGTCACTCTGGGGTGTGAATTAACTATCTCCATGAGTGAAATAATTTATGCTGATTTATGGTGTAGCTTCCCTCCTCACTGGTGCTAGAGTAATTAAAACAAGAGGCATGCTGTCTCCCAATTTAGAATGGCTACATAAGAGAGAGCTTATTGTGGTGCAACTGCATCAGTATAGTCATAGCCTCTGTTGTTTGAGGAGGAACTGCCAGAGGGTGACTGCTGCTGTGGCTACAATTATAGTCCAGTCTGCAAGGGATTGCTGCCTGTGCTGTGTCTCACTGAAAAACAGAAGCTTCCTACCACAGTGAGCTGAAGCTCTGGGGAACATCTCCAGGATTATGCCAGGATGCCATGTGTGACGGCGCGTTGGGGTCCCCCGCCTCCTGCACCCCCGAAAGGGCACGAACAGACTCCACCAGCCGGTAGAACAGAGGGGGCTCGTCTACACTTCAAAGTAGAAATAAGAGATCCTCCGGAAAAGGGCTTTTTTCCGGAGGATCGGGGCCAGTGTAGATGCTCTTTTTCGGCTTTTCTAAAAGCTTGCCATCTTCCGTGAAATTAACATGCCCCTTTCGGAAAAGGGGACAGTGTAGACGTAGCCAACGAGTTTATTGCCTCTCCAGAATACAGCACAGCACAGATGTCACCAGGTTACAGGGCAGGCCTAGGATGCCTCAGCCCCCCTTGATATGGGGCGGGGGGTCTGGCTTCTAAACCCCCCAGCCTGTTGCTGAGGCTGCTTCCTCCATACTCCCAGACAGAAAACTCACTAACTCTCCTCCAGCCCTGCCCCCCAGCCAGGGGCGGCATTCCACCTTCCTTTGTTTCTCCCCATGGGGATTAGCTGGTCAGACAGGTTTGGAGCCCCCTTTGCATAATGACCAGACAGCAGAGGTTGTCACAGCCTTAGCAAGTTACCCCCACTACGTCACACCCTGAAATAGGACCTCCTGTTTAGAGTCTATGAGCATAAAGCCCCACCACAGTTCCTGGCTCCAAAAAGAAGACTCCAAAAAGAGTTAAAAGGGAAGCAGCACAGAAGTATAATTTAGAGAAGTTCAATGTATAACAGTTATTACCCTTTTGCTTATGTTCTGAAGGCCATAAATCTCCTGCCATGCCTAAAAAGTAGGGTGGACTCCCAAGTGAGCAAAACTCAACAGTTACATTGACTAGCAGGTCTGACTCTGCTTCCTAGCTGCAAAAGCCGTGGAAAAATAATGTTGTAAAGGCAAACCTAGCTGTGCAGAAGAATCATGTGACTCCTGCACTGTAAATATTGTCATGGATGCATTTCACAAGTTACAGACCATGTTCTGCCCTTCATGTACTCAACTCATTGACTTCAAAAGGTCATAGACATTTAAGGATAGAATGTGTATGTACACAATACAGGAATTGTATCACCACTGAAATACACTAACCGTTGGGACAGAACAGTGGCAGCTGTTTAAGCCCAGTGTTTCACACCAGTTTAAGATAAAGATTATAATATTGTCCTGTTGAAACTGTAAGGATAGTGGCCTAATGTATGATAATGCACTGTAGGTAGTTTAATCATCCTCAGAATCTTGCAAACTTCAGAAGGAAACCACAAACTTGGACAATAGGGTGGAGTAGGAAAACTGTAAAGTTTTTACTCGGATTCTGATTTATGGTCTACACCTAATAGAGGCCAGAAAATATCAATCCCAGGGGGTACTACACCTTGAATCGGTCTTTCCTTCACACCAGTGAAAAACCCTTTCCACGGGTTCTCATTGACAAGAAGCACAGAGAGCCTTTGCAGTGTAGCACCTTAAGGTCAGGGAACATGAATTAAGTGTTTCAGGTCCTGTTGTTGGGTCAGTGTACATGTATGGCATTAATAACTCCTGCTGTGGCATGAATAGTGTGTGCATTAGAATAGTGGCATATATTGTTACTTTTACAGCAACTTATTCTAATTAGCTCTTGGAATGCAAGGTAGATTAGGGCTGGGCATACACAATGATTCTTTTCTGGAAGCTTCTGTCATCTGGAACCTTGTTCTCTCCTGCTGCAAGCTTAAGGGCACCTCCATAATTTACATAGTATGGTTTAAGTCTGTCAGATTATTTTCTTCCTTTAAAATGATTAGTTAATTGTTTTAGTAAATATAATTGGACACTTTTTTTAAAAAAGGAGCATGTTGCTGACCAGGATATTCTTAAAGCTGTACAAGAGCAAAAACAAGAAGAAGAAAATGAGAAAATTCGAGCTCACTTCAAAGCAAAACAAAATATGGCCAAACTGAGAAGAGAAAAAGAAGCTCAAATGAACAGGTAGGGCAAATGTTAGAGAATTAAATAACATATAGATTTAGAATTATGCCTTTGTCACATGACTATAACAACTGAACTCAGGGTACTTCATGGTATCTGGGGGTATGGAAGAAAATATGTGTAAGAAGTTCCTCTTCCTGGCCTAATGTAGTTACAGATGATGGCAGTGAGCTGGGTACTCACCTTGATCTTACTAGTCCTCAAGGCTTGTGAATTTTGCAGGACAGTGGTTCTCAACCAGGGGTATTCAGAGGTCTTCCAGGGGTACATAAACTCATCTTGATATTTGCTTTGTTTTACAACAAGCTACATAAAAAGCACTAGATAAGTCAATATAAACTAATTTTCATTCAGAGAATGACTTGTTTATATTGCTCTCTATATAAATACACTGAAATAAAAGTACAATATTTTTATTCCAATTGATTTATTTTATAATTATATGGTAAAATGAGAAAGTAAACAATGTTTCAGTAATAGTGTGCTCTGACACATTTGTGTTTTTATGTCTGGTTTTGTAAGCAAGCAGTTTTTAAGAAGTGAAACTTGAGGCTGTGGAAAACAAATCAGACTCCTGAAAGGGGTACCATAGCCCCAAAAAGCTGAGAGCCACTTTTGTAGGACCTGTCCTGGAGCTGAGGGCTTTTTATCTAGTCTGTAAGGCTATGTCTGGACTGACCCCTCTCACACAAGAGCGATGTATATTGCTGTGCCTCATCTGCATACTTAATGAACCGCCATTTTGTGCAAGAGGCTTTTGCGCAAAAAGGAGCCATATACAGAGCTCCTTTTTGCGCAAAACCTCCCTCTTGCACAAGAGCCATTCTTCCTGAAAAAAAGCAGCAGAACAGCTCTTGCACAAGAGGGGGTTTTTGCCCCAAAAGGAGCTGTGTAGATGGCTCCTTTTTGCGCAAAAGCCCCTTGCGCAAAAATGGCAGCTCATTAAGTATGCAAAAGAGGTACGGCAATATTCACCACTTTGCCTCATTTGCATATGCTCTTGCACAAGAAAGCGCAATTTAGACGTAGCCTAAGGTTTTTACTCTCTTACCAGTTCCAAGATATCTAAATCCTGATGGAAAATAACTTGATGATGTGTCTGTGGTTTGCTTTCAATGAAGCAAAAAAACAGAAGGAAGAAAGCTGATTTTTGAATGAGAAGCTTATATTATATAGATTCCAGTGAGCTATTTATAATTAAACCAGTTTTATCTCTTTAATGTTGACATGTTGTAGTAATTCCTATTCTATTATAGGTTAATGCAGGAACGTAGGGATATTATTACTAACCGTCTAGTTGCACAGATGAAACAGACATTCGAAAATATAGATGAACGTGTTGCTAGAGTTGTTGCTGAGAAAGAAGCTGAGTGGGAAAAAGAGCGCAAAGAAAAAGAAGAAAAAAACAAAGCTGAATTGAAGTCAATTGCAGAACACAGAGCCACTGTGGTAAGATACTTAAAAGAAAGAAATACATTGACTGTGTGCAACCACATTACTCATAAGTATTTTTGGGAAAAGCAATAGTTTTTGCACTTCATTGTGGGAGATACACATTGAACTTACTGTTTAACATTTACATATCATAGTTAATGTAGATAGTTAGCAACTCTTCAGGCAAAATGTATAAGAAACAGGATGATTGTATGTCACAAATAACTAAAAGTCTATATTATCATCGAGAATGGATGCAAACATCTCCTAGTTTTAATATTTATTATTTTAAGCAGAGATGGTTTTTTTAGGTAGTGCAACCAACATAATCACTTGGCACTTTTAGTGAGATGGGCATACTGACTAATAACTGTAGCAGCCTATCTGCTTAGCTGATGCATCTGTTCTCCTGCAGGGTCAGTAGGAAATGAGGGTGGCTCTTTCTCAGGAGTTAGAGAGGTGTTGGTCTGCCTGAAGATGGAGATGGCCTTTAAAGACCGCTAGCTCCCACCTCACTTAATGAGACAGAATAATCTGGCCCCTCAAATTGTTCCTGCTTCCATTTGAGGTTGTCTTCATGATCACCCTTCCTAGAATCATCAGCATGCTCTTCTAATCACTCCTCTGAACACCATCACTAGCACCACCACAGACACAGTGTTAGGATTCAGGAGCTGTTCCTAAGGGACTAGTCTCTCACAGAGCTCAAGGGTGGGGACCTGAAGCACAGCTTATTCCAGGCAATCTGACTACAACCCACTAGAAGTCATGAGCTTGTCAAAGCTATGGCCTCTTTCTGGGTGACTTACTAATCACCAGATTTAGTGAGCAAGTAAAGTGTTAAAAATCCTTGGGTCTTTGGCTCTTTTACCTTAATAGTAACACCTCTCATCAGAGGATTAATGTATAAGTGTATCACAGCTAAATATCTAGTGCAGGGTATGTAACACCTTTCATTGTGGTAAACACATTTCTGAACAGGTGAATAACCTCTCCTGTTCACATCTGTGCAGCCAAAGAATTGCATAACCTTCTTGTGGGAATTGCAACAACCACTTATATGGAAAAGTAACATTAGAAAAGTAGTGTGTTGTTTTTACCAACTTTCAATGGGAATAAGTATCTAGAAACAGTAGGGGTAGCCAGAACGATGTTACCAAATCACGTTCTGGAGACCACAGATAAATGCTGTCCAGGCTACTTTGAAAATTGATGTTACAATGAAGTGAACATTTTAAGGAAATACTGGGGGATTTTCCAGACAACTCTAGTTGCCTTTTTATAAATGATTTAGATTACATGGTTAATCAATCACTAATAAAATTAGAAGATACTGAGAAAATTTATGTAAAGCTTTGGAGTTGAGGGAAAATTCATATAGGTGTGAGGACTTACTAAATTTTGGAAATGTTTTGCAGATGTTTCACTGCTTATTAATAGTATGGGTCTTTTATTTTTAGTTTCACTTGCCTGTGGAGTGATAAAATACATCAGAAATTATGGTTTTCACATTTTTTGGTGAGCACATTGAGTTATTTTTATTTTTTATAAAATATAGATAAAAATGAGAGAAGAGCAAGAGAGGGAAGCAAGATTAAAGGGTAAAGAAAAACTTCGTGAACTAATGGAAGCAGACCGCATCTATCTGGAAATGGAGAAAGAGAAGAAACAAAGAAATCGCAGTGAAAACATAAAAATGCAAGATATTCAAATCCAGCAAATGGTAATAAGGGGGATAATATATTTTACAAAGCCATTTCAGCATACATCTAGGCTACGTCTAGACTGGCATGATTTTCCGCAAATGCCTTTAATGGAAAAGTTTTTCCGTTAAAAGCATTTGCAGAAAAGAGCGTCTAGATTGGCACGGACGCTTTTCCACAAAAGCACTTTTTGCGGAAAAGCGTGTGTGCCAATCTAAACGCGGTTTTGATCAAGAAAGCCCCGATCGCCATTTTCGCGATCGGGGCTTTTTTGTGCAAAACAATACCGCGTTGTCTACACTGGCCCTCTTGTGCAAAAGCATTTGTGCAAGAGGGCTTTTGCCCAAACGGGAGCAGCATAGCATTTCCGCAAGAACACTGACAATCTTACATGATATCAGTGTTCTTGCAGAAATTCAAGCGGCCAGTGTAGACAGCTGGCAAGTTTTTCTGCAAAAACAGCTGCTTTTGCAGAAAAACTTGCCAGTCTAGATGCAGCCCTATGGTATTGGAGTCTTGCGTGAGACCTAAGTCTTAATATTATCTAAGTACTGTGCAAAGAAAAGAGGAACAGGAGAAAATTATTTTTATCCCTTTAAATATAAGGCTTCAAGTGTTGTTCCTCAGTGACCAGCCTCTTCCCAGTGCAAGAATGGGAATGTGAAGCAGAGCTTATATACATGATTGAGGGAGCCGGTTCACAGGATTGGCAGTAGGACAGAGATCCTTTCATCTGCAGACACCTTATCTGAGTCAAGTCCAGTTTGGACTGAAAGATGTCTCCTTCCGATGACGACAATTAAATTGGATTATATAAAATAGCATTTGCTATCTTAGTTCAGTTGTCAGTGGACATATATTACAAAATCCCCTATTAGTGCCAACACTAGTCACATGCCGAATATGTGCCATCACAAGGCCCCGTGCATTTCGGAGACTATTGTAGTAACATCCCCTATTCACACATATTTACAACTTCCCCAGCCTGCTGTGCTGTCCCATCACTTTAACAGATTAACATTGAGGTTCAACCCTTCATAGGCCCAAAGACTACTCCCATTGTCCAGTCCCCTCACAGATGCTAAAACCAGATTATCTGCCAGTGACAAGCAGCCCATCTACTCAGATGCCAAAGTCTAACCACACAAATATGTTAGGGCAGTACTGCAGGCTGTCTAGGTTCCCAAAATTCAGACTTGTACTTGGATTTGCAAAATCTAGGGATAGTTTAGTGTGGTGTGCACTACTTGGCAACCATATGGATAAGACTTAGTTCAGAAGTTAAAACTTGAGTGAATTACATTGAGAGATATATCCTGTCAGCTACAGATAGTGGTCTCCCTGACTCAATATTCAGGCATGTTGCTGGCACATGGCTACTGCTCACTTTGCATCTATTCTCTGGACAATGGATAATATCAGTTTTGAATCTCTAACTAGAGTTAAATTGTGATTGACTCAAAATATTTTTATCAGAAAGGTATTTACAGCCAATTATTTAAAAATATAAGGACTTCCAGGACTTTATGATAAGCTATGCTACAAGTCAACCATGTGAAACTAAGCTTTGTTATTTTTTCAACCCAACAGGCTGAAAAACGGGCAACAGAACATCATGAAAAACAGACAGAATTGGACTATGAGGCCCAAAAAGAAATTATTGCAGTTTGCAAGGAGCAGGAATTTCAAGCATATGCAAAGCAAGTAATTGATTCAGAATCCAAAACAGCTCGAAATATTTATCCTTTACTCAAAGCAGCAAAGGAAGGGGCAGGTGGTGGCCATGGACCAGTTTACAGAGAAAGAGGAGGAATAAGACCTAGTTACCAAGCTCGGGATATCAATGGCACTCAGCTACCTTCTTATAATTGTAACACTACTGAAGAAATAAAAGAACTAAATTCCTATGATAACATCCAGCAAGGTAAAGGAAGACTAGGTTTTACATGGTAAAAAATAACTCTTTGGAGTCTTTACAAAAACAAGTCAAATTAACTGGTAAATGATCCATGTTGTATGAAACCCATGAAAGGAACTATAAAGCCATAAGTGCTTTACCAAAAAGTTGAGAGGAATCCAAGTGTATTTTCTTAAATATTAAAAATTGTATGTTACTAAAGTTACTATGTTAAATCAGATATACAGACAGAACCGAATGATGTACTATTCATTACTTTGCTTTATATAAGGTTCATAAAATAAGATTTTTGTTTCATTTTTGTAAGTTTCAAACTCAGTCTTTTAAGCTGCACTTGAATACACTATAAAGTGTTCCATTTGACTTCTTGCATTATTATATTCAGTGAGTGCTAAGGAAAAATATTACCCTCAAAGGATACCAAATATGTTTCAAGAGTGTAGGAAATACATGAGAAACAAATACTAAGTAAGGGTATGTCTCCACTACAACGTTATTTCGAAATAAGCTATTTCAAAATAGTTAATTCGAAATAGCTTATTTCAAAATAACGCGTCTACACACAAAATGCATTTCAAAATAGCATTTTGCTATTTTGAAATAGCACATCCACACTGAGTGGATGCTGAATCACATTTAAGGCCGTCCGGAACCAGGTTCGGCAGGGCATCAGGTCAGGAGTTACTTTGTGTGGCTGCTGCCTTAGGCTATCTGAGGCCTGTGCTTAAAGGGACCCCCCAGACAGCCGGTTCTCAGGTTTCCCTGCTTGCTTGCCTACCTCGATGAGGGACAGCAAAGCATTTTGTCTCTGCACTCTCTGATTGCCCTCACTCCGAATACCACAGCACTCTGCAACATGGAGCTGGAGCTGCCCCTGGGCACTCTGGTGCTTCTCTTGGATGCGTTGCTGTGAGCCTGGCTGCACTTTCTGCAGGCTGCCATCCGGGAAGTCCATCGGGGGGCTGTCAGTATCCAGGAGGCCCTGCGGGAGAGCTTCCACCCTGAGGAGCACTAAAAGTCTCCCTGGTCTTCCCCACTGGCGGCTTGTGCCTCATTCCTCCCTCACATCCTTCCACTTACCCCTGTCAGCCCCCCTTCCTGAAGTAAAATAAAATATACTTTTTTTCATAAACACAAACTGTCTTTATTTAACAAAATGCAGGGGAGAGGGAATGAAACTCTGGTGAAACTGGGGAAAGGAGAGGAGAGAGGGTGGATGAGGGGAGGGGGAAACCTGGGAGGAGGAGCTGGAAGGGGGAAGCAGGGGGAAGAAGGGGGAGGGGAAGCTCAGAGCTCAGAGTTGGGGGTCTCGGACCAACTTGATTTTCATTCGAACCTGCTCCTGGATTTGCATGTGGCCTTTTGGTGGCCAGGCTGGCAGCTATCCTGCCATAGATGGCCGCATTCCTCCATCTAGTGTGGAGATCATGGACGTTGGGGGCATTCCCCCCCCAAACCTGAATAAGGTCCATGATCTCCACCCTGGACCAGGAAGGCGCTTGCCTTCTCCAGGCCCTGGCAGGCTCCTGGGAGCTGGCAGACTGCTCCTGGGGAGTGGTCAAGGGCTGGCTGCTGGTGGCTTGCTGGCTCATGTTTTGGGGCCACTGGGTTGGGAAGTGACTGCTGGCTCTGGGCTGGCAGGCTTGGAGCTGGCACAGGCACTGTGGCCAGAGTCTACCTCTTTAAGGGCTCCGGGGAGAGGGGGAAGGAGAGGAGTGTTCTTGGTTGAGGCTGGAGTGGCCACCAGGGCACCCCGGGAAGGCTGGAGGCCCCCTATTTCGAAATAAGTGTCTACACAGCACTTATTTCTAAATAGCTATTTCGAATTTGGCATTATTCCTCATAGAATGAGGTTTACCAAATTCGAAATAAGCACTTCGCTATTTCGAAATAGTGGTTTGGCTGTGTAGACACTAGGAAAGTTATTTCGAAATAAGGGCTGTTTCAAACCCTAACAGAACAAAAATATGAAAAAAAAAAACATTTAGTATCACTAACAATACTTTGATATACATTCCATATGAAATATTCCTTAAGATTCCACTCCTTGTTGAATTTAATCAGTAAGCATCTGGAACACTAGTTCATTATCAGTATGTAATTTCTGTTCTCTTAAAATCTGAATCAATTCTTGCAGTAAACTAATAATTACCCTTGCTGCTGTCAACACAACTTTATCTACAGGAGCATAGCTTTTATTAACATCTTTTTACTAAGTTATTCTCGGTACAAAAAATATATGCAAAAATTAAAAGTTACAACAAAGCAATTATGTTGTGCATACTCAGTTTATTTGCTCCTTTTACTAAGTTCTTTGTAAAAGTAATCACCTTATTTTTATATAGAATACTAAGGGATGATTTGATCATGGTCTGTAAATGAACCTAACGTGCAAAGGAGGGCTCTTTGACTAGCATAATACAGTCATAAACAGTTGAAACTAAATAAATGCAAACTGGAAATAAGGTACAGATCTTTAACACTGGAACAACTGATTAAGATATATAATGCAGTCTCCATCACTTAAAGTCTTTAACTTAAGAATGGAAATCTTTTTTAGAAGATATGCCATCATACAATCAGCAGTTACAGCCTTGCTGCAGTAATTACTGTTGACACCATATAATCTGTATGCTTTTACATAGAATTCAGATAAGATGCTCCTAAAGATTTCTTCTGGCCTTAAAGTCTTATGAAAAATGCTTAGATGCTTACAGACCAATCATTTAAGTTTCCTTACAAACATGCTATTTCTAGTGCAACATTTTATTTAAAAATATAATTCTGTTCTGTTTAATGTGTCAACATTGTAAATTTGATTGCAAACATTTAATGCATAACATAGATGACTACAGATATACACAACTTGCAATATAAGATCCAATAAAACACTTCAGTACATGCTTAGTAATTCAGAACATGAACACAATGGTTCTATTGATTTAAATGGAACTATTCACTGCTTAAAGTTCAGCATATGCTTAAGTTATTTGATGGACTGGGGGAAAAATAATTTTCCTGTATTTCTAGTGCATTAAGAGTCATATTATGGTAATATGTCCTTGTATTTGTTTTTGCACAAGCTTAACTGTTATCAGCAGGATAGTATGTGCAATAGAATAAATCCCACCCTATGATCAACTGTCACTGCAAAGACATTACAGAAGCAAAAGATAGTAGAGAATGTTGTTTGGAGCTGCCATCTAAAAAATATTATCTGCAAATAAATGTATATTTTAGTGTACATTCTGAATCTCATTATATCCCTACCTCTGTATATTTTAGAAATATGCATCTGTCTCTCTGTGAGTTGGTTTGTTCAAGAACACCTCCTAAATGGTAAGAGCTAGGGCCACCAAATTTGGTATGCAGCTTCCTCTTACCCTAACTTAAAGCAAGGCCAGGGTTGGTTGTGCCAGGAAAACCAGAAGTGCCAGGAATGAGACTGTTTTCCATAACATGGAAAGGGAGGGGCTGTTCAAAAGGATGCAATACTCACAGTGGCCACTGGGGCAGCAAGCGCAGGGGAGAGCTATATGCAGACTGACCACTGGAGGCAACCACACCACCAAGGGAGTGGCCAGCAGAGCTGGGGCTCTGCCATCTTGCCTGCCACCAGACTGGATAAGTGCAGTTCCCATGCCTGGGAGACAGCCTCCTCTGCCCCCCCCCTCCATTCCAGGAGAGAGCCCCCAACTGCCTCCCTTGCTGCAGGAGGGGCCAAGAGGAGGGAGAGAGCCCCTGCCAGCTCCCACCCCACCCCAGGAGGAGCCAGGGGGAGGGAGAGAGGTCCCATTGGCCGCCTCTCCTCAAAGGGGCTGGAGGAAGGAAGACGCCCTGCCAGGCCCCTCACCCTGGGAGGGGCAAAGGGGAAGGAAGAGAGACCCTGCCAGCCCTCCCCTACTAAGGTAGGGACAGGGGAAGGGAGAGAGCACTTGCTGGCCCCTCCTGCCCCAAGTCGGGGGAAGGGTGAGGGAGAATCCTCCTTCTGTCCTCCGGAGATAAGCCAGCAGGTGGGATGCATGGTCCCCACTGCCCCAGATCGTCTCCAGGGTGAAGCCAACAGTTGCTCCCATCCCCTGTGCTGGGCCCCCTTGCTCCCCAACAATCACTCTCTCACCCTCCACATCCCCAGCTCCCTGTCCTGAGCCCCTCCACAACCCCCACCATGACTCTTGCTTCCCCCCCAATGCCCTCGGATTCATGCCCTGAACCCCCAACACCCCCAAGTCCCTGCCCTGACTCCTGCACTACCCACATCTCCAGCCCCCTGCCCTGATGAAGGACCTGGGTAATATTGGGTAAATCTTCTAGTGTCAATATAACACAGAAGTAATGTCCAAAGAACTTGAAAGTAGAGCTTTTTAACTTGTAATTTCATTGCTTTTGTTGAGTTGGTTAATTTGTATAAGGAAGTCACTGGGTATGTGTAATCTTCTCTTTCAAACCTATTTCTTCATCCAGATAACTTTTGCTTGGAACAACTGATTTGATTGCAAATTGTGATGCTTAAAATAGCGACATTTTTCTGAAAAACTGCAGCGTGTTTTGTAAGATACAAAATTTCTTTTGCAGCGTAATTAAATCATCACTTTGGGATTATTATCCACCTCTCCCCATGGCTCCTTATTTATCATAATTTTTACTCACATATTCTCAGAAATATTTCAGAGCTCCCAACCTAACACACAAAGATGGTTCTTCAAACACAACAAATGGGGCATTTTTCCTACTCAGGCCATTAGACAACACATAGTTATTTAGCAATTCTTACCATAATGGGTTGGAGCCAGAGCTGGATAGGCTCAGGCTAAACAAAGCGAAGTTACTCATCTTTGTGCAGTAACAGTCGTTCTTCGAGATGTGTGTCCCCATGGGTGCTCCACTGTAGGTGCTGAGCTTGCCCCAGTGCTGCAGCATGGAGATTTTTGCAGCAGTCGTTGGCTGGACCATGCGTGTGTGGAGGGCGTCTTGCGGCGTTCGCTCTCTTTCGCGCCACTCAGTCCAGTTCCAGTCAGTTCCTCGAACCCGCCTCAGGATCTGGAAAACAGAGTGACACAGACTCCGAAGCGGAGAGGTGGGTGGGTAGTGGAGCACCCCCCAGGGACACACATCTCGAAGAATGACAGTTACTGCATGAAGGTGAGTAGCTTCGCTTTCTTCTTCAAGTGATGTCCCTGTGGGTGCTCCACTGTAGGTGTCTGCACAGCAGTATCCCTCCCGTTATGAAGGCAGGAGGGATTCGGAGCCCCTATTTGTTGGCCGATGAAAGGACTGCAGCTGCCACTGAATTATCAGGCAGCTATCTCTGCTGGATGGCATAGTGATTAACGAACGTGCAACAGGAAGCCCACGTGGCTGCCCAACAAATATCTGCAAAGGGAACACCTCTCAGAAAGGCAGTGGAGGCTGATATAGCTCTAGGGCATTCGGGGAGCGGTATTTCCTGTATGGCATACCATTGGGTTATGCAGGACACAATTATGTTAGCTATCCTTTGAGATGAAATGGGTTCCCCCTTCAATCATTCTGCCAGGGAAAGGAGGAGCCGG